AATTTCTATTGATTAATATATATATATATATATATATATATATTGAAATTCGTTCCAATTAGGAATTTTAAATTTTTGTCATTATCTAGATTATTCTTTTTTTAATCTGAATTTTAGTCATGAACCTTATTTTGCTTTAAATAAGGGCTGTAAGTCTTAATTAAAAGATTCAATTGATTGATTATAATGAAAAATCAATGATAGATTTTCTCTCAATATAGATTTTCTTCTAATTTGTCAGTTCTAAATCGTTAGAATTCACAATTTTGCGGTCAAGATCAAGAATTCGTTATAATTTATGAAGAATTAATGAATATTTGTTTTCTAATTTCGCAATATTCTTTGCAAATCAACATGTTCTAGTTCGTCTCTTATCTATCACCTCACGCTGCATTATATCGCTTATGCTATATCAATCGATGCATAACGAGCACGAACATAATTTAGCCCCAGTTTGATTTTGCTAAAAATAAGATTTTTAGTAAATTTTGATAAAAATTGATAAAATGTGTGACTAAAAGTTGATAAATATTGTGGGTCTTGTGAAAAATCGTATTAATTTTGACTTTTATTTTTATCAATTTTGTTAGCTAAACCAAAGAAGAACTTAATGGTAAATATATTAAGTAGAACAAGTAAACACGAGATGTTACATCAAAGGCTTGTTTAGTAAATTCAATAATACAACAATGGACAAATCAAGAAAATCAAAAGATGCTAAAGTTTTATTCAAAGTACTATTAAATCATATACAGATATTACATACTAAACATGCCGAGAAATACATTAAATAGTTTTACATGAAGTTATCGAGTAATAATCCCCATTAAATTTCACATCTTGAGTATAAAAGAGGAAGCTGCACAAAGCCCTCCAACAAGAAGAGTAGAAATGATGGTAGTCCTTGTGGGCATCCTTCCTTTATCACTTCTAAAAAACATGGCTTTATATATTGGCAAGCAATTCAGTACCGCAAATCCTGCAATAAACACTTGTACAAAAAATACTTCCAAATTTCTCTCCTTGAAAATCTGCACTATCCCACCACAGAAAAAGGCCATTAAATTCAAAGTTGCAGCCATTGCTAATGTCACAAACATAGGGGATTCTACTCCAAATTCAAATATTCCTTGATCATATCTTTTACTTTGTTCGTCATCCATTACTTTGCTTGTCACATTGAATCCTTGTGTGGAGATGCCCAATCTTTTGGTTATGAATTCTATTGATCCAAATAAATGTGATGAAACTCCCCTCATATGCCACATTCTTTGATCACTCCACCATCTTCGGAATGTGCCTTTGGCTAATACGAAATCTAAGCAGTCTTTTCCATTGGCACCAAGAAATAGAAAAATGTATGCAAGGAACCAAGGATCAGATACCTGCCAAAAAATGTAAATCTAAAAAAATAAGAAAATATTTGTCTCCTCGTGTTTAATAAATGAAGTCTTTTTTAAGTTGTTTTGATTGTTGAAAAAAATAATAATAATAATAAGTTATAAAACTTTCAAATTAAATATTAAATATTTCAGTTTTTATTTTAATTCTTAAGTTTTCAGTTTTATTTTTTTTAATTTTTCAGTTTTGTGTTTAATTTTAGATTAAATACAAATTTAATCCCATTATTATATTTGTAACATATGTTGAATTTTATTAATTTTCATAATGAGATGGTTAAATTCTTCTACTATAAAAAGAGGGTGGATTTCACATTCTTAGACACAACAAAATCAAACACAAAAATACTCTCTACTCTCTTTTCATATTACTCTTCTCATAACACTCTCTTGTTACTTTTATCTTCTTTTATAAACTTTTGGCAATTGATAAGGGTATGTTCTTTCTCTCCCTGTGGTCGTGCCCATAGAAGGAGAATTAGCTACGAGCTATAAGGGTTTTATCTTGGAATCGTGAAGTTTCGAAAGTACCCGTACGAAGGGGAGGCCGCACGACTTTAGGACAACGTTTATCGCGACTCTCTTAGGCCAGCTTTTCTAACTCTATTATCATATTTATTTATTTGCTTCATGCTTATAATTGATAGTACGTTACACAAATCACGTTAATTTTTACAACAATCTGAAGTTGTGTGTGTGGTTTGTGTGATAATAATACTTGGTAGTTGCTAACATACTCATTGTTATTATGCTTCAATTTTTTGATTCAATTAAATTTTAGAACCTTTTATGATTTTCATTTTGAAACTTACTACATAAATTTTCATTTTTGGGAGCTCACAGAAATTCTATTGATTATTGCACTCTTCAATATTGCTTCAATATTTTTAATTTTAAGCACTTATTTCATTTTTATAACTTAGTAGAAAGTCTCAAAACTTATATTATTTACTTGATTGATCGACTTGAACATAAAATTAAATTGTGACTATGTCATTTTAGATATTCATTTAATTTGTTATATTGTTACTTGGAATATTTGAATTAATATTGTCAAGTTTTAAATATTTGATTTAATTGGAAAATTTTATTTTTTGACAAATTTATATATATATCTACAGTTACTTCTCTTTGCCTTAGTAATTCGTAGTGTAAGAATGGCATATCGTGAAGATACTAATAGTACTAAACCAGAAAAATTTGATGGAAAAAATTTTAAAAGATGGAGAAAACAAATGGAATATTGGTTGACCGTTTTAGGGTTAATTTCTGCTACAAAAAAATAATGAAGGTAGAGAGTCTATCTCTTGGTATAATCCAGAACAAATTGAATTTCATTGTCATAATCGAATTTTATGTGCTCTTTCTGATAGACTTTATGATATTTATCAAAATATCAAGAGTGCTAAAGAGCTTTGGAAAACATTAGAGGAAGAATATGGAATTGATGATGCTGGACGAATATGTTATGGTGGACGAAAAATCTATAAACGAGCAAATCCATCAATTTCAAGATTTACTACGACACGTAGAAGAAAAAAGGGTCAAGTTTCAGTGAGGACTATAAGATTTCATGCCTTATAGATAAACTTCCACCTTCTTGGTCGGACTTTGCTAAAAGTCTTAGACATAAGCAAGGGATTTTAACATTGAACCAAGTATTCAATTCCTTGAGAATAGAAGAACATCATAGAAATTGTATCAACAAAGTTAGTGAATCACATGCTAAGGCAAACTTGGTAGAAAATTCAAAAAACCCTACTAGCTCATCAAAGCAATTTAAGACTCGAGGTAATAAGTTTAAGAAAAACTTTCATCGTTATAGGAAAAATTTCCAACCTAAAAATAACTACACTAAGAATAACAAAGGCAAAGAGAAGAATGAACAAGGGCCGTGTTATGTATGTGGAAGAACCAACCATATTGCTCGAGATTGCTACTACAAAAAGACTAAGGAGTACAAGCTTAAGGACAATTTTCAAAAGGATCAAGTAAACATGTTGAAGGATGGTGGACATTCTATTAGGTGTGATTCATCAATATCTTTAGTCAATTTTACTTATAATAGTAATGAATGGTGGTTAGATTCTGGAGCAAATGTTCATGTTTCTTTTGATAAGAGTTTGTTTAAATCTTATCAGACTTCAAGCAGAGGAAGCATAACTTTGTGAAATGACTCCATCACTCTTGTATTGGGAATTGGAAGTGTCGAGTTAGTGGATCACGTTTAGTTCAACAAGATTTTAAACTTGTAATGGAGTCAAATAAGGTTGTTATAACAAAAAATAATGTTTTTGTTGGGAAATGTTATATTAGTGATGGATTGTTTAAATTGAATACTATTGAAAATCTTTATCATGATTCTTCCATGGTTCTTAATATGGAAGTTAGTTACTTGTGGCATAAACAATTGGGTCATGTTGGTAATATGAAGATCAAGAAACTTATGGATCTAAACTTGATTCCAAAATCTCAAATTGGTAATAATAAGTGTGAAATTTGTGTACAAGCAAAACAAACTAAGAGACCTTTTAAGTCTGTTAGAAGAGACACAAACCTTTTAGAATTGATTCTTGATGATGTTTGTGATTCTAATAGATTGCCAACAAGAGCTGGTAATAAATATTTTGTAACATTTATAGATGACTATTCTAAATATTGCTATATTTATTTATTGAAAGCAAAGGATGAAGTCTATGATAAGTTCAAAATCTATAAAGCAGAGGTTGAAAATCAATTAGAACGTAAGATAAAAATTTTGAGATCCGATTGAGGAGGAGAATATATTGGGAATAATTTTAAGGATTACTGTGAGGATAATGGTATAATACACGAAGTGACACCTTCTTATTCACCACAATCTAATGGTACTGCAGAAAGGAAGAATAGAACTTTAATGGATATGCTAAATGCTATGCTCATAAGCTCCGGAGCACCTGAAAACTTATGGGGTGAAGATGTCCTAACTTCTTGTTACATATTGAATCGAATAAATGTTAAAGACAATATTAAAACTCCATATGAGCTATGAAAAAAGAGATCTCCTAGGTTAAATTTTCTAAAAGTGTGGGGGTGTTTGACAAAGGTAATTATACCTAATTCTAAAAGAAAGAAAATAGGACCAAAAACTGTAGATGCTGTTTCCATAGGATATGCTCAAAATAGTAGTGCAAATACGTTCTTGATTATGAATTTCGAAGTAAGTGAAATTAAAAATAATACTATCATTGAAGCTTGAGATGCTACTTATTTTGAAGATATTTTTCCATTTAAGACTATAATTTTAAGTGAACCCTCGACTTCTAAGAACGTGATTTTAAATAATACTCCATCTAGTTCATCTTTAGAAGATACAGTTGAACATGAACTTAGGAGAAGTAAAAGGACTACGAAAGAGAAATCATTTGGAGAAGAATTCTTTTACATATTTAGTCGAAGGTGAACCTGAAACATATAAAGATGCTATAGTCTCTACTGATGCACCTTATTGGAAAGAAGCCATCAATGATGAGTACGAGTCAATTATACAAAATAATACTTGGGTCTTATGTGATTTACCTCAAGGAAGTAAAGTAATTGGATGTAAGTGGGTATTTAAAAATAATTTGAAACTTGACGGAAGTATAGATAAATATAAAGCTAGGTTAGAAGCTAAAGGATTTACCGAAAAAGAAGGGATCGATTATTTTGATACATATTCTCCTGTTGCTAGAATAACTATTAGTAGAACATTATTAGCATTGAGTAGTATTCATAAATTGATGATTCATCAAATGGACGTTAAGACTACATTTTTCTATGGTGATTTGAATGAAGAAATATATATGGAACAACCAGAAGGTTTTAAAGTCAAAGGACAAGAACATAGAGTATGTAAATTAATGAAATCATTATATGAACTAAAACAAGCTCCTAAACAGTGGCATGAAAAGTTCAATAGAGTTATACTAAATTATGGATTTAGAATTAATACACATGACAAGTGTGTATATTGCAAAGAAGATAACAATGAACATGTGATACTTTGTTTATATGTAGATGACATATAAATATTTGGGACAAATTTAGAATTTGTTAATGATGTGAAGAGTTATTTGTCAAAGAATTTTGAAATGAAAGATTTGGGAGAAGCTCATATAATTTTGGGAATGAAGTTAAGGAAAACTTCTGAAGGAATTTTACTAAATCAATCTAATGCTATTAAAAAGATGTTGGAAAAGTTTGGATATTATGACAATAAACCAGTTTCCACTCCATATGATTCAAATGTACACTTGAAGAAGAATTTAAGTGAACCAGTTTCGCAATTTGAGTATTGGAAATAGGACAATACCTGATATAGCCTTTGCTATTCGAAGACTTAGTAAATATACTAACAATCCAAGTAAAGAACATTGGAACGCTCTAGAGAGAGTGCTTAAATATTTTCGATGTACATTAGATTATTCTATAAACTATAAAAATTTTCCAAATGTTATTGAAGGATATAGCGATGCAAACTGGATAACTGATAATGTAGATATTAAATCTACCACTAGATATATATTTATGCTAGGTGGTGGGGCCATATCTTGGGGTTCAAAAAGACAAACGATTATCTCTAGGAGTACTTTAGAGTCAGAGTTAATTGCATTAGATACAACATGTACTAATGTTGTGTGGCTTATAGATTTATTATTAGATATACCATTAATAAGTAAACCAATTCCAGCTATTTCAATCCATTGTGACTGTAAAGCAGTAATAGAGCTTGTAAATCAATCTAACTCAAATAAGAAAATGAATAGGCATATTCAAGCAAGACTTAAGTCAGTTAAGGCCTTACATAAAAGAAATGTGATTTCTCTCAATTTTATGAGGTCTGAAAAGAATTTGTCAGATAACTTAACCAAAGCTTTACCCAAAAGGGTGTTAATGAATCATCGAGGGGGATGGGTTTAAACCCGTAAGGGAGTCACTTCCGGGAGTAACCCAACCTTTGTGATTGGAGATCCCATGAAAAAGGTTCAATGTGGTAGGCGTGACTCGTAATAACACTATATTATTTGTACTCATCCCTATGGTGATAGTGCTATGATTGAAGGGTTTACCCTAAATGAGTACCGAGGCGGGAATTCTCGCGAGGTGCGGGTCACACGCATCCTTGGAGGACTCACCTATGTAAGAGTTGTCATGAGGCCGTGACTATCGGATGGGGCTATTCTCTAGAGACTCTTACTAGAATCAAGATAAGAGCGCATGACCATTTACAACGTTACCTGCTATGAATTGAGCCTAAATCGATACTGTGTGTGGAGCAATTGAAGTTTGGTTAAAAGAACCTAATTCAAGGTTTAGTCCATTATGGCTCATTCAAATGGAAATTGTTATCACTAAGTGATGTTCAAGTCCAAAAGACAGCTACACCTATTACACAGTATAAAATTACCACTATATACATATATATATAATTATTTTGAAAGTTTTAAAACTTGTGGGGGATTGTTGAAAAAAAATAATAATAATAAGTTATAAAACTTTCAAATTAAATATTAAATATTTCAGTTTTTATTTTCATTCTTAAGTTTTCAGTTTTATTTTTAAAATTTTTCAGTTTTGTGTTTAACTTTAGATTAAATACAAATTTAATTCCATTATTATATTTGTAACATATGTTGAATTTTATTAATTTTCATAATGAGATGATTGAGTTCTTCTTCTATAAAAAGAGGGTGGATTTCACATTCTTAGACATAACAAAATCAAACACAAAAATACTCTCTACTCTCTTTTCATATTACTCTTCTCATAACACTCTCTTATTACTTTTATCTTCTTCTATAAACTTTTGGCAATTGACAAGGGCCTGTTCTTTCTCTCCCTGTGGCCATGCCCATAGAAGGAGAATCAGTTGCAAGCTATAAGGGTTTTATCTTGAAGTCGTGCAGTTTCGAAAGTACCCGCACGAAGGGGAGGTCACACGACTTTATGACAGCGTTTATCGCGACTCTCTTAGGCCAGCTTTTCTAACTCTATTATCATATTTATTTATTTACTTCATGCTTATAATTGATAGTACATTACACAAATCACGTTAATTTTTACAACATTGATATCATATGAAAGTTAATGGTATAGAGACATATTAGATATTTAAGTTAAATAGTAAAGGTCTAAATTGTTGCTATGATTTTGTCCGACAATATTCAAAGACGATTAGAATAACATGTTTGTCACATTGGATGATTAAACAAAATTATAGAATAGGGATATGAGATGCTTGTGTTAAATAATAAGAGGACATCTAAAGTTTCTCCGATTTTGTATACATGTTCGACGATGTATAGAACAACATTTTTGACACATTAAATTAATCCAGGCTTGAAAAATTGAAAAAAACGGAGACATACATGTAAAATTTTTATCCTTTTCTTATAGAAAGAGTCTATAATGTTCTAATTTCATTTTCGAAGTATCTTTTAATCATCTTAATAGTCATTTATTTTTCAACATGTAAAATGCAATATTTGGAATTGAGGTAAATGTACCTTAGGAAAGATGGGAATTCCATAGAGAAGAGTGAGTGAAGGGATGAAAGCATAGAATGTAATTGGAAAACACCAAATGCCCCAGAATGCATACTGTCCAAAGGCTTGGGCCACTAAAATCCCTGCGGTCCGGATACCATAAGTTAATGTGCTATACTTTGAGAAGCCCACTTCTAGCAGCCCAATGTCCCATCTCTTGTTCTGGTTCAAAACATCAATGAGAGTTATCGGCACGTCGCCCAAAAATGCTGGCCTCTTTGGATCGCAAAATATGGACTTCCATCCTTCGCATTGAAGCCGGTATCCAGTGTAATAATCCTCTACCAAAGAGCCATACTTTAACCCCATCTACACGTGCAAAAAAATGCTTGATCAATCAAAACTCGAAGAAATTATCTAAATTGAGTTCGCGAATAGCCAAAGAACAAGCTTACCTTCGAACCCCAATTGGTTAGGTTCTCATAATTGCATCCAGAAACATGGTGGGCTTGGTCCAAAATCTTTTGATCCATTATGGGCTTGCTCACAATGTAATTTGGGCTGAGCTCGGGGATTTCTGGCTGAGCAGGTGATGATGGGCCACCAAAAAATGTACGTCGAAGAAAAAAGCATCCAGTCCCAACATAGTTAGGCCCACTCAGTCCATCCATGCCAGCGGGATTTATTTGAAACAAACCTTTATACTCAGACGCGTAGATATCGGCCTTGTTGAGCCCATGATAGAGTTGTGGAAATTGAATGTATCCTAAATTTGGCCGACTCGACTTATCCGAAACGTAGCAAAGAACTCGTTGAGGCGTTAAAGGATCATTCGAATACATATCACAATCCAGAGTTAAGATAATCGGTGCGTTGGTCATGATTCCCGAGATACGAATCTTCATGGCAAAACACGAAATTTCCAACATTAGTCTAAATTCCACACACTTATAATAAAACAAATAATAAAGTAATACATTTATTGACATCTTGATCGTCTCAATTCTTTTATCCTAAGATCATGTTATATGTAAATGTTATGGCACCGAAGATTAATGGTTTGTTAGTTATAGAAATTTGAAACACACTGAATCGTCTTATTATATTATTGAGTTCTATCCAACACTACTTTATAATCCGTGCAATAATAGTCTTATCACTTACAAGGGCATTGAGGGCTCCTGCCTTGAATTGATGTGGACTGGTCCTTCTTTTCTCTCTGGAGACATATACAAGGTTGGGCATCGGCTGTCCCTTATTATCTTTGTCCTTGTTGGCATTTAATAAAACCTGTTTAAAATATTAAAATTATAATATTCTTTAATATACAAGAAAAATATACAAATGTTGTTGTGCTTGCGACATTAGCATTGTCGAGAATTTTTACACAATAGAGAAGACTTGTTTGTAAAATTTGAGTAGATTAAAGAATCTTGTTACGTTAAATAAAAAAGAACAATGCTTGGTGTATACTCTTGTGTACATCAAATTACACAGTTTCCTCACACGTGAGGGGGCTCACACTGAATATTTTATTTGTGATGCCTCTCATGTGAGGGGCTATACATTAGTGTTGTAAAAAAGGAATAACTCTATAAAAAATGGTTTTGAAAA